CCCCCATTCCCCCCCCGGCCGCAACTCACAGCACCTGCCAACTCGCCCCCCACGGCCACATCACAGGACCTGGCTCTCTTTAATGCTCACGTTCTCTCTACCTCCCTCGGGCAAGGCAGTGCACTCACCCGCACTGTACGGGGAGGGAAAGGGGAGCCAGATTTTGTAGGCAGGAGGTACCTAATGCCCCTGGATGTCACTGGGAGTTAGGCTCCGGGATCTGACTGAGTGACTGGTCCAAGGTCCCACTGCTGAGTCCTGCTCTCCTGCATGCTGGCCCAGCGCTCTAACCACTGCGCCACCCCCCTCCGGCCCAGCAGCAGTCTCCGCTGAGCAGCCTGACCCTCGGACGGGAGCCAGATTTTGTAGGCAGGAGGTACCTAATGCCCCTGGATGTCACTGGGAGTTAGGCTCCGGGATCTGACTGAGTGACTGGTCCAAGGTCCCACTGCTGAGTCCTGCTCTCCTGCATGCTGGCCCAGCGCTCTAACCACTGCGCCACCCCCCTCCGGCCCAGCAGCAGTCTCCGCTGAGCAGCCTGACCCTCGGACGCCCCCTCGCGACTCAGCCCATGAAGCAGCCTGGGCCAGTCTGCCTGGCGGGGACGGCAGAGAGCACGGCCGAGTTGCAGTCAGCCACGCAAAGGGACGGCTTCCTGCCCAGCAGCCCCAGCCCCACGGGAAGGTTCACCCCTCTTCCCTGGCCCGGGCCACCCCCACTTCCTTACCCTGGTCTGGACTCTGCCCAGCAGCGTCTCCTCTCAACCGGGCATGGCCACCCCAACCCCAGAGCCCTCTGGGGGCCAAGCCCTCCAAGGTCTCCCTCTCGCGGAGGGAAAGGCAGGGAGGCAACTCAGAGCCAGGCCAGGGTCGCTTCCTGAGCCTCACGGTACCTGATCTCCCCAAACTGCTGCCCGTTGGCCTCTAGGTCCCACAACTTCACCGTGCTGTCCCAGGAGCCGGAACACACCTTGTGCTCTCTAGAAGCCAGCGACCACACCCAGCCCTGTGCAGGGCAAGGGAGAAGAAAGGGTTAAAGTCGCGGGACTGCCCTCCCTGCCCTCCCTGCCCTGCCCTGCCCTGCAGGCCACAGCCCCTCTGCAGCACAGTTATCCCCATTGTGCACACAAGGGCCCTGGCCCGCCCTGCCTGTGTCAGTCACTAGACATGTTATCTCAGCGTGGGAAACAGAACCCAGGCCCATCTCTAGAGGGGTGCAGGGTCCAGGACAACTCCACCCCAGACCCCACCTCTGCTCCACTCCTGTTCCAACCCTTTCCCCAAGCCCGCCCCCTGCCCTGAGGCAGGACCCTGCTGCCAGCGCCAGGAAGGGCCCTGGCCCGCCCTGCCTGTGTCAGTCACTAGACATGTTATCTCAGCGTGGGAAACAGAACCCAGGCCCATCTCTAGAGGGGTGCAGGGTCCAGGACAACTCCACCCCAGACCCCACCTCTGCTCCACTCCTGTTCCAACCCTTTCCCCAAGCCCGCCCCCTGCCCTGAGGCAGGACCCTGCTGCCAGCGCCAGGACCCCCGATAATCCCCCAAACCTCCTTGGGCTCTGTGGGGCCCCCCAAAACGCAAGGCCCGGAGCGGCTGCCCCAAACTGCCCCATGGACGGGTCGGCTCTGGCAGGACCCCGGTGTGGGGGAGGGAGCCAGCTGACAATACCACCCGACAGAAGGCATGAGGGGCATGAGCTGGGGACTTCCCCCCCGGGGGGTCTCAGCAGGACTGACGTCCCCAGAACAAAGCCCCCACGATGTGCCTATTGGCTTTGATGGCAACGGCCAGGGCTGGGGGGCCACTAGGAGCCCCACAGGGCTGGGATGAGACGAGCAGCAGGGGGCGCTCACTCGCCTTCCAGCTCCTTAGGAGTATCCGCGCTGGGGACGGAGGCCGCCAGCTCACAGGAAGCCCGGCAAGTAGCCCCCCCGTCCCCCCCGCCCCAGGAAGGGTGACGTTGAGGCCCCCACCTTGTGTGTCCCGTTGCGCTCCGTGCCCAGCGCTTTCACCAGCACCTTGTCCGGGGACTGGCCCAGCTGCCGCAGGTCCCACAGGTTGACGTTGCGATCCCGGGAGCCCGAGACGCAGAGAGCCCCGCCCTGCAAGGCAAGGAGACGGGCCTCTGAAATGGGAGCAACGGGTCAGTCGCTGGTGCGTGAGCAGAGGGGACAGGACGCACAGAGAAGCAGGAGTGCGAGGAGCGGGGCGGGGACGAGCGTCAGGACTCCTGGGGTTTCTTCCTGGCTCTGCCAACAGTTCGCTACACGAGCTCGGGCAGGTCACTTCCTGGGTCCGTGCCTCAGTTTCCCCGTGCCAGCGATGTGAGCCGCTCAGAGGTCACGTGAAAGCCTTGTCTGCCCTGCCCCTACAGAACTCCTGGACCCAGAGACCAACGTGGGGCCCCGCCCCAGCTAACAGGGCTCAGCAGATAAAACCACCACAAGCCACCAGACTCGGGCAGAGTCAGCCGCTCCTGACCCCCAGAGTCCGGATGCTGCTCCCCCTCGCTGGGCCTCACCCCCTTCCAGCCCAGGGCCGGGGATGGAGCCTGGATTCCCAGACACTGCGGCAAAGGCGGAAAGCGGCACTCACCTGGAGGAGCAGAACGGAGTCAATGGAGGCGAAGTGGCCGTCGGCGAGGGAGAAGTACTCGGTTCTCTCGCCGTCACAGGCCCAGTGCCGGAGATGCTCCTCCACCTCCATGCAGGCAGCTGGCCAGTCAAAGTCCTCCTCTGCACAGCAAGGGAGACAGCGCAAGGATCAGGGTCTGGGGGGGTCCCGCTCTGGGCGGGGAGGGAATCTGAGGCTTCCAACCTGCTGGGAGCTTTGATCCCACCGCCTGGTGCACTAGGTCGAGTTGAGGCTGTGGAAGCGTTTTCTTCAGCCTTCCCGGACTACAGGGCCCCTCTCAGGAGTCTGCCTTGGCCTGGGTACCCCCGTTCCACCTCACCCAAACACTACTTGCCTACGCAGCCAGGCACAGAGACAGAGAAGTGGCACAGCCAAGTTATCACTGACAACCCGCCAATGGCCTCGGTTCTACTACAGTATAAAATAAAACCGGCACTGCACTGACAGATCAGTGAACACGCTGGTCAGTTTCTACGGACCCTGCTAGCGGCTTTTGTCTCACTTGTGGTACAAGTAGGCAAATCTCTAGAAGAGCTGATGGGCCCCTGGAAGACTCTGGTAAGCCCAGGGGTGCGCACACCCTGGTTAGGAACCACTGCTGTAGGGTCCGGAAACCCTTCTCTTCTAAAGGACGGAGAAATGCCACCCCTACAGGTCCCAGGGCAACCCTTTTAAATGGGTGGCAGCAAAGCTAACGCACAGCACTGCTGCCTCTGAGTGCCCCAAACCACCCTGCCCCCCTCTCCAAGGAAGGGCAGGAGAGCTACTGCTGTTACAGAGGTGAAGTCAAGACAAAGCAGGGAGGGAACGTGGCCACGATCACGCAGCGAAGTCAGCGAAGAGAACTGAGATGTCCTGATTCCTCGTGCCCCTACCTCCACCCTCTCTAACCACTAGACCGACCCACCCCCTTCCGGAGGTGGGGATGGAACCCAGGAGCCCTGACTCACTGTCCTCCTGCTCTAACCATTAGACCCAACTCTCCTCAAGAGCTGGGGGTAGGGACCTGGAGTCAGCATTACCCTCTGCACAGCTCTAACCAGCAGCACCTCAGCAGCAGCAAACGCTCAAGGCAGTAAAGCTCTCTGAGGCCAGGAGTCCTGGCCACCAGCCCTCGTCTCTCCTCCAAGCCCCACTTCCAATGAAGAAAGCCCAATGGAGATCTACCTTCCACCACCGGGTAACACCCACTGATCCTCTTCTGAAGGCGAATCCTCCAGGTCACTTGGTCCTGCACAATATCCCTGAGGGTCCGACAGACCAGGGGCAAGACCTCGAGAACAAACCTGGCTTCCAGATAAGAGCAGATCTCCAGGATCAGCTCCAGAGGGAGGGCTAACAGCCCAGAGGTCACGTCCTCGCCTGCCGGAGACTTCTTCAGCTCCAGGAAAGACCTCTGCTCTGGGGCCCGGGGCTCCACAGAGAGCGACCCCGGAGGGGAGCACTGGGCTTTGGGGCTGGGCTGCACAGAGCTGAGAACACGGTCGATGTATTCCTGAGCCTGCGTGTCTGGGTCAACCTTGTTCTCTGCGTCAGAGTCATTGTCGGAGCCTGGGGGGTCCTCGGAGGAGCTCGGGGCCGGATCCATGGCTGCAGAAGCAGGAGGGAGAGGGAGAGAGAAGAGTGCGGCATAGGAACCAGTACAGCATGTAGCCCGCCAGACCACTGGTCATTGAAGCCTGGCATTCAGCAGCAAGGGACAGGTCCAGCCCCATCCAGCACTGCATGCGATCAGCCCAGCAAGGGAGTTCAAGGCCAGAAGGGACCATTGGAGAGTCACAGGCCATTCAGTGTCACCCAGCAACCCCACTGCGAGCCCCGTGCGACAAAGTGGGGATTTCATTCCCTTGTTATGCTGCACGTGAGTTCTACTGGCCTGTAGGAACCCCGCATGGGTGTACCTCAGTTTCCCTGGGCACTGCCCCCATACCTAGGTGGGGATGGGAATTTCACTGTGACAGCCTCCCCCATGTTCATAATGGTCGATGTTCTCTGTAACCTGAGCCTGGGTGGAGGGCGTGACCAGGTGACACCTTTTGCAGGGGAAGTAGGACAAAGGCTGGAGGGAGGGCTGGGACAGGGCTGCTGAGTGAGAGTTTCTCCCTGCTGGCTTGAGGACTGGGAGGAGCCCCCCCTCCCCAAGATGGATTGTCCTGAATGCTTCCAGTTACTGTGCTGACCAGTCTGGTCTAGGCTGTGTCCCTGTGGACAATAAACCTTCCGTGCTACCTGAGAGTCACATCCGACTGCAATGGGGGTGCAGGGCGCAGTGACTGCCCACGTCTCAACCACAGGGTGTTGGCCTAACGCACCTTCCAGAAAGACCCAGGCAGGCCAGGAAGAGAAGAGGGAACCCGCCCTTCCTTTCAGATGCTGGTTAATCATCCGCCCTCTCAAAAATTAGCGTCTCCTTTCTGCTCTGAACGTGCCTGGCTTTCCTGTCCAGCTCCTGGGGCCTGTTCTGCGGGTCTCTACTGGCATCCCCCTAGGCCGGCCCCTGCATCCACCTGCTGCCCCAAAGCCTCGCAAATCCCCTCCCCCTGCGCTGCAGCGTTTCCCGGGGAGGGGAGGGCGGGGGGGAGACGGGCGCAGTCTC